ACAAATTCTAGAATCTGAAAACTGCAGTAACTATGATCTAGTCTCTGCTGTTAAAAGGCAAAGCCCTTTCTTCTATCAGGTGAGCAAGAGGATGCTAAGACTTCATTTTAAGTAAAGCACAGGCCAAACAATTAGCAAAATTCAGTTTTATAAAAATCACAAACTTTAATTTTTGTTGTAGTCTTATTTGAATTTAAAGCTTGAGTCCTTGACAATCAATGCTACGTGGCAAACTTCAGAAACAGAATGATATAAGACAATTCCGCAAGGGATAAATAAGGAAAAACCTGAAATGGGAGGTAGAGGGATCATTTCTCCTGCCTGCCTGTTCATCCTTGTCATATATAAAGGAGATAGAGAAGTGAAGTAGCAAAGTTCAACTATCTAGGACAATTGAGGAAAAACCTGAAATGTGAGGTAGAGGGATCGTTTCTACTGCCTGCCTGCTCATCCTTGTCATATATAAAGGAGGTAGAGAGTTGAAGTAGCAAACTTCAACTATCTAGGACAATTCTGAAACAGATAAATAAGGAAAAACCTGAAATGTGAGATAGAGGGATCATTTCTCCTGCCTGCCTGCTCATCCTTGTCATATATAAAGGAGGTAGAGAAGCGAAGTAGCAAACTTCAACTATATCTTACAAATTATTGTGGATGGTGATGTGGCTATTTGGTCTTTATATCTTTTGCATTATCAGAACTGGCATATAAGTTAGCACGTTTTCTTATAACTTTTTATTAATACCACATTGTTCAGACATGCTAGTATAGTAAGTATCATTTGCTGTCTTATATCATGTCTTTCTCCCAGGTGTCTAGACCCCACATGAACAACGAACTCTATCTTGAAGGAGCTGTGGCTCGATACAAGGGTTTCTTACACTTAATCCGGAGAAACAGAGAAAGATCAATCAGGAGCTTCTCTGTTCCAACTTATGACATTGACCTTATCTGGCACACTCACCAGTTACATCCTATTTCTTATTGTAAAGACCTTGTTGATATTATGGGTAAGGTGTTAGATCATGACGATACTGATTCAGACAGAACAAAAGGGATGAAGCTGGATACTGGGTTTTCTGGAACTACAAAGCTATGGGAGGAAATGTATGGTTTAAGATACTGGAGGGCAGGTGCAATGTATAGAGGAAATGCACCATCTCCTCTTAGAATTTGTCCTTATCCCTCCAATCCTGCGAGCAAGAAGGCAGACACATTCCGTATGGATCAGAAGATAATTCATCTTCCAGAGACGAAAGTTTTGGAAGTAATTTTCCCAATCTTTTCTAGTGTTTCTAAAGTTTGTTCTGCTTTTGCTTTTATTTTGGGATTGTTGATATAATTTTATATATAAATTCAAAAATTCATTACCAGCTTATGTCTTAAAAAATACTGCAAAGAGGGGATCTGGAGTAGGTGATGACCATATAAAATAGATTTGTTTTCTTCAATCAGTGTGCAGAGAGAGTTAGAGATCATAGGAGAACCACTACTTCTAAGCCACTTTAATCGGGCATAGATTATTTGCTTAAAACTTTAACCTTTTTTAGGAAATTTAAGCCTGCTGTCCTCTATCGTATTTTGTTAGCTTGGATTTGAGTCAATGCATTTTTGTGTAACCTAGACTGCTTGATCGCCAACAATAGAACAGAAGCCACCTTTTCTTCTGTTCAATCTTCGACACCTTCAATAGAACTATTGCCGTTTCTTAGGTTCTTCATCATCCATGCCTTATCTAGTTATCATCTGTTAATCTGATTTTAGCTTTGGACTATGTGATGTTCAAAAGTTGTAACTTCTAGCAACTTCTTTTGCAGGTCATGTTGGAGATTATAGGCATAAGAAACTTACCTGAAGCTCACAAGGGAGGCTTCTTTGTTTCTTTTAGCAAGACACATCCTGATAGGATCTTCAATGCAAAAAAGAAACTTACTATTTTCTCTGAAAGTGGGGAAAAGCAGGTTGCTTACTTCCAATGTGAACCTAGTGGCCATCTTCTATTAGAACTCATCTCCCAATCATCTCATGGTTTGCCGATTTCAAAATCTGTTGAAGTTCTGGGTTCTACTGCCTTCTCTTTAGAAGATTTGGTTTGCCCAGCTTCGAAACTCACAATGGAAAAATGGTTGGAAGTTGTGCCAAGCACTAAAATAAAAGTACTGGAACCAATCTGTATACGAGTAGCTGTATCAGTTACAACACCTACTGCAGCACCATATGTTTTTCACATGGTTCGCTCCCGAGCATTCTCCAAAATTTCTTGTTTTTTTCCACTACCTGGAAGGAATCAGTATGCAAAGAATTGGACGTATGTCATTGATGATGATGGTGATGAGGTCATTAGCCTGCAAATGAGGTATGTAGTTTTTGGTATTCTTTGTTGTTAGTGCTGTTCTAGTTTTTGGCTTTCTCATAAATATGTCTATTTTACATTACTTTTCCCTCTGATTCAAGATTAACATTTTAATCGATCGTAATATCTTGTGTGGTCATATAGTTAACACATCGGTAACCTTTAACATCACCATCAAAATATTGAGAAAGTTATTGTTCCTTTAAAACAAACTTGGAGTAAATCCTTTTCATGTTTTTAATTAAGCCTAACTGTTTGATTTGGTGGAAGGGTACCATATGATATTTGAATGTGCGTAGAAGGATGTGCTTGTTTTGACTTAAGTGAGAGTTCTAACCACTTCTACAATTCCAGTGAACACTTTAAATTAAAACAGTTAAAAAACTATTGTCACCTTTACTTCTTGCTTTTTGAAACTGTCAGCTGTATTGAACTTGAGCTATTCTCATGAAATTCATGTTTTGACTGCAGGAACTCCAAGAAATCAAAGAGAATGAGCAACTCTACATTGCAAAAGGAGGTGATTGGGATCAGCAAGTCTGGTGAGACGCATTCTCTTGCGGAGTTAGTCGGGAAAGAGTGGTTGCTGTTAGATTCCTACTGGTCCCTCCAGCTTCAAACTTGCAGTGGTGATGAAGGTTACCTTTTGGAGTTGGTTGGTGGTTCCAGGATTGTGAGTGTTCATCCACTACACCTTACAATTTTTTTCCTTAAAACAGGATAGATTGATAAACATGTTCATTAAATGCCTATGATTGTCACTCGTCACTCTTTCATTTCACTGATCGATGGAGTGATTGATATTTTCCATCAGATTTTTGGAATACTGCTTGCGCATAAGCACTATGTGTTGTTTATTATACATTCATTCGAAACATTTCTCATTGACTTTCATGGGAATAAGTTTTGCTGCATCTGAGTTCTTCTGTGTAGAATTGCTTCTTTGACATATAGAAGTGGGTCAGTGGTTCTTAACATAAAGAAAGAGAAGAGATGCAATTAAGGTTTAGAGAGAAAGAAGTGGATCCAGTAGGCAGCTGGAAGTTGGCGAAGAGGGGAGGCAGGTGTTCAATGGTTTTCTGCTATGTAGGACTAACAAAAAGAGAGGATAGGAAGATGAATAATGCCTGGCTTCTCATTGTTTCTTTTGATTGTAATTTTGAGGATTTCACAAGTTTATGTTGTCTTTGCTCTCCGTGAATTACAGTTTCCATATTCATTTCACAGGTAAAATTCTTCCCTGGGCAGAGATTGGATTATGAGCACAAGCATTGTGCAAAGCGAAGAAATCAAGATGATTTTATGACAGCAATTGAATTCTCTTCAGAGCACCCATATGGAAGGGCATTGGCATTGCTCGACTTAAAATGCGGTGTTATCAATGTAAAGTCATTATATTTATTTACAATATATTACTTGTTTCAATTTCAAAACATGGGGTTACATCTGCCTGAATGCACGTTGTATTTGAAAATCAGGTGAAAGAGGAGTGGTTACTTTTGCCTGGCACGATAACTGCTTTTATTCTAGGTGATATTTTGAGAAAGGAAGGGTATAGTAGCTTGCTGAGCAGTGGCAACAATTTGAAAGATAAGAATACTTCAACTGAAGAAGCTAATGCATGCAATGAATAAGGCAACAAAAGTAATCTGCAACTATTGATGCTGAGAAGACAATGCATGTGGATGTAGAGACTGCACAAGTAAACAAGTAGATAAGGAGGAGCAACCAGCTGAGCCGGTGGCACTGACAGCGGCTGTGGACCTGTGATAGTGTCATAAATAGTGTGGTTCTCGCAATGGTGGTTATGGTGGGGGTTGTGGGG